TGTTCTTTACTGTTCATGTATGGCTTACTAAACTTGACTCTTCCTATCTGGTTATTGTCTCCCGAAATATTTATTCCCTTTATGTATATTCACTCCTCTCCCGTCCTATGCCAAAGACACCACAGTCCCAGCCGCCCTCCCCAGTCAAGCAGCCAGCCAATGCCCCTGCCCCTGACAAATTAGACAAGATGTCCGAAATCACTCTCAGAAAGAAGAACGCTGACGCTCAGGCTGCTTTCCGTGCACGCCGTGCCAACTATATTGCCACCCTCGAAGAGACAGGTCCGTCTGCTGCTAAGTACCTAAATATTCATGTTCCGACAACTAAGTGTCCGTAAATCGCAGTAACCAGCTTAGAGGCAGTTGTAGTCCAGCTTCAGGACTCGTGTCGCGAGGCTCGCGCCGAAGCCTCAGAATTGCGTCAGGAAAACCACTACAGTGTCTAGTCTGTAGATTATGTAGTATATACAAAAATATATTACTTTTGTACTTAGATACAAAGAATAATACTCTAACTCATCTCTTAAATTTTTTTTCTCTCAGGTCCGGTTATGGACCGGTCCAGAACCGGACTGGAACTTGGGTCCGGTCCACTACCCGTCCACATAGGTCCGGTCCCCAGTCCGGGACACTCCCGGACCGCAGATTTGGTCCGGTCCTGAGTCCAGGTGAAGTATGCCCGGACCGGACCAGGACCGGACTTCAGCAACTATAGTGTGTTACATCGTTACATTGATTTCAACTCATAAAATATTTTAATTAGATACTTCCCGATTAATGTTTGGCTTACTTGGTTATCGTGCAGTGCAACCGATAGAATCTGGATAAGAAGACAATGGTCAATATCCTAAGCACAAGCTTTTCTAGTCTAGAAGAGTGTTGCGGAAGACGAAAGCGGAGCCAGAAGTACCGTATGCTATTTCCAAGTCCAACCCGAAAACCTCGCCTGCCTGTCAATTTAAAACGGAATATGAGAATCTTCTGAATGGTATTTCCATCTATATTTGGCTACTATTTCCTTTGTTGGATATCAATGGCAGTGCCCGCCACAAAGGATAAAGGACACGCCCTTCGTACTAGTAGCATTATCTCTCACAGACCTATCCACACTTTCGTCTAGTTTATTGGCTCGAGAACACAATTGCACAAATTATCAAAAGCTTATAATCTTCCTGACCCTTCAGACGTCTCAACATCTTTCACCCCTTACATCCACAATCTACGACTCACTAAACCAAAGCTCCTTCCAAACATAGCTTCCCTTTCACCTTGATATTTTATCTCATTTATTGTAGCATTGACAAATCCGCGGTAGTGCTACTAAAATAGGCTTGGCTTGTGGCCCTTTTTAAAGTTGCAAACATATCCCTTGTTCCCTTATTCCTTTCAACCACCTCAACGTTATATCAACCTTCTCATCGTCTCGCTACTAGATTCAGACATAGACAGAACAATTTGTTTGTCCTTCTAGTATAAACACAAGGAGGTAAGAAAGCTATTTGGCCCTTCAATTACTTTGCTTTTGACTTTCCAATTGGATTATCCATTCAGGAAAATTACCAACGCAATCGCGCAAATAAGGACTCTTTTCCTTAACTTGCGACTTTGCATCAACCACCACGTCTGGTTTAGACATCGTGTTACTCGCCCTCTTTACTCAAACTAGCATCACGCTTTGCACCAGATCCCCATAGCCGTCGCCTGTCAGTGCTAAGAGCTCTGTCTACTACACCCTTGTGTCTTCTTTCAGCAATAATGTCGACCCAACCGGCACTCTTGGTTCATCCACGCCTCTGGCTAATTCCTGTGCGTGCAGGATATCAGGAGAAATGGGACCAGAAGAGAAACCAGGCGCCTTACGAGGATATTATGCGCATGCTACTTTCTTGGCTGTCTAAGTTGATGGTCTATACCCACCTGCAACATAACGCGAGTTCGGAATACTATACCAACTCCGACTATGAGGTGTCCCCTGGCGCAAGTATTTGTGAACTTGCCGAACCAGAGGAGTTCCTGCCATCAGGGGATGACCCAATCCACATTCCGTCTCCCCGAAAGGACTACTATTTGAAATTGCAAGGCGAAGATCATTTTAGCCATGTCGTTCATGCCAGCGACATCAACTCAGACACATTCTGTGGTTTTGTTCGGGTCTTCGTGGCTGATAGGCCGTTTTACGACCCAAGCGGCCCCCCAGAATGGTCAGCCGTATACAAAGCGCTGTACGAGATTTGTGGCCGCAGGTACGCGCAGAGCCTCTCGGAAGACGGTCATTCGATACTTCATCCGGTGAAGGTGCTCGATACGAATGAAGTTGCGGAGCTACTCGTTAATTCGGAAGGCGTCATTGGTAGACGCACCACATACGAAACTCTGAAGGTTAGGATCTTTGAGGAAGCGAACTCGTACAGCGAGACGGAATTTTCAGCCCTCCCTCCACCTCGGCCTATATGCAAGCGACCTACAAGTGTTGGCCATTTGCCGGGCTGCAAGTGCACGAAGGTTTGGGGATGAAAGGAATCCATCATTCTGCGAACTCTAACCAAGGCGATCATCCAACCTTACTGGACATATCAAACGGAGCACCTCTAACACTCACCGCATATAAATGTGCCATCTACGCTGGAACGATCACATATGAATATGAATATTCTTCCCGATAACTTTCTACCAGTTGTTATTTGTAGCGAAATACCTTGGACGCCTACTGGTCACGAAATCGGCCACTGTGGGGACAATGTACATAGGAACAATCCCGATTACCCTTTCCCCCTCCCCTCTCTTACACACCAATAGTATGTTCTAGTAGAAGGATTGGCGAAGCGCGCTGCAAAATGACTTCAAAGCTAATGTACCTTGGTCAGACTATAATTCGAATTGTGTATTGCTTAGTGCATTATATCAAACTCAAGTAAAATAACTCAATCAGAGATTTCCAGATTTGGTTTGCTCGGTTATCCTGCAGATGATCGATGGCGCCTGGATTGGTAGACGATGATCAAAATCCGAGTCCAGGCGTTTCTGGAAGAGTCATGGAAAACGGAAGCATTTGTAAAAGTACCATATGCTAATTCAAGTTCCAAGACTTTGCCTGCTATTGAAAGGGACATGAGAACAGTCTTCTCGACAGCAGTTACGGAGAAGCCCGATGGTTATTCAGTGGTGATTAAGAAAAGTACCTATATGAGTCAATACATTGGACCGTCATTTAATTGTGTGGCGGACTGGCTAACCTTCATTGAAATGCACGGGTGAGAAAGGAAGAAAGATTCCGTGGGTATACCTCGGCATTGCATTTCTTCAGGAAATCACAAAGCATCTCCGGCGGCGAACCGGTGCGAGATGGGGAGACGCAGTTCAACAGTTACTACCAAGTTGACGAACGTGTCCGGTATCTGGTTGACTGGGAGATATTCGCGGGTCCAGGCTGCTTACTCGCTTCCAAGAGGGGCCGTAAATAGCGTGATAACCTCGTTTCTTATACCTCAAGTACTGATGTAGCTTTCACGCGGACATCGGTACGATTCGGATGATGAGGAAGTTGTCAAAGATATCAAAGTTCATCAAGAAGACGAACGGGAGTCGGACCACGGTGTGCAAAGATCTGTAAGGTATTATAAAATATCTCGACTTGTCTCTGCATTCCCCCTTACACTGAATCAAGACGGTTTGAGGGTTGTGACGCGAGTCAACTGACCTCAAAGAGAAATCAGCGGTTCTGGAGTGCAATGAATAGGGGGGAAATGGAGGCTCGGAGCGCTGCTTATTACTGAGTCGCGGTCGAGGCCATTTTGTTTTAGCGTGGAATTCAATTGCCTAATGCATAACACAGCGCCCGGTTGCCCCAGTCAAAGATGCTGGGTACATGGCAGAAATGGGATCGGTGTTATCGCTATCTGGTGTCCACGTCGCAGCGGAGACATCTCGGCATGCGACGAGCGAGGTGTGAAGGGACGGGGACGAATGGGAGGGGAGGAGGGGCGACCGTGCCAGTATCTAGAAATTGATGGAAGCGGACCCGCGATGACGTTTCATATGACAAGCCAGCCAGGCTCCGTGTATATGCGTTAATCTACAAATACTCACTCCTGCGCACATATGGGCCCATCCATCTTGGCCTCAAACCACAACCTTATCCCCCGCCACCCACCCCACATTTGACTGACGCTCAACACACGTAGCAACCATGAGCACAAATGGCGATGACAAGCAGAAACTCATCGTCGTCTCGAACAGGCTGCCCATCACAATGACGAAGGACAGCAAGGGCGAGTACCACTTCAAGATGTCATCGGGTGGTCTCGTCTCAGCACTTTCGGGATGCAAAAAGACAATGAAGTTTACTTGGATCGGCTGGCCCGGCTTTTTTATCCCTGAGAAGGACCGACCGCTCGTCGACCGACGGCTCATGGAAGAGTACTCATGCCAGGCTGTCTACCTCGACGATGACTTGGCAGACCGTCATTACAATGGCTTTTCGAACTCCATCTTATGGCCACTTTTCCATTACCATCCTGGCGAAATGAACTTTGACGAAGAGAACTGGCTTGCATACCGACAAGCAAATCTCAAGTTCGCTGAGGCAGTCCGTTCACAACTCAGGAGTGGCGACATGGTCTGGGTGCAGGATTACCATCTAATGCTACTTCCGATGCTTCTCCGCAACATCATTGAGAACGTCGACAAGAAGGGCGGTCTCACTCGGAGAGAACTCACGCGAATCACGGAGGGAATGGAAGCAGAGCTGGCTGCGCAGCACGAGACTATTTCGGATGTGAAGATTGGTTTCTTCTTGCACACCCCATTCCCAAGTAGCGAAATCTACCGGTGAGGATCGGATAGCCTGCATATGATTGTCTTTGTACATGACTAATCACCATCTAGAATTCTACCTGTACGACGAGAAATCCTCCTCGGCGTCCTCTATTGCGATCTCATTGGTTTCCACACTTATGACTATGCACGCCACTTCCTTTCGTCTTGCACACGTATTCTTGGATTACCAACAATGCCCAACGGTGTTGAATTTGAAGGTCGATTGGCGCACGTTGGCACATTCCCTATAGGTATTGACCCGAGCTCGTTCCTCGACAACCTCGAGAAAGACTCAGTGAGGAAACGAATTGCGGATCTTGAGCAGCGATTCAATGGAGTCAAGGTTATTGTCGGTGTTGATCGCCTCGATTACATCAAGGGTGTACCTCAAAAGTTACACGCACTTGAATTATTCCTTGCACAACATCCGGAATGGATAGGAAAGGTCCGTATTCGTGAATGTGCTTCTTCTCGTACGTAACTAACCGAAAACGTCATTAAGGTTGTCTTGGTTCAACTCGCAGTCCCTTCGCGGCAAGACGTTGAAGAGTACCAAAACCTCCGCTCAACTGTGAACGAACTCGTGGGCAGAATAAATGGACGTTTCGGGACCGTCGAGTTCATGCCAATACATTTCATGCACAAGAGCTTACCGTTCGATGAACTCTGCGCCTTGTATGCCCTGAGTGATGTATGCCTAGTCAGCAGTACTCGGGACGGCATGAACCTTGTATCATACGAGTACATTGCGTGCCAGCAAAAGCGGCAAGGTGTCATGATCCTTTCTGAGTTTGCTGGTGCTGCACAGAGTCTTAATGGCTCCATCGTCGTGAACCCGTGGGACCCGCAAGAAGTAGCAGATGCGATTCACGAGGCTGTGACTATGGATGCGGAGACACGAGCGGAAAATCAGCGCAAGCTCTTCAAGGTAAGCTGACATCTTAGTGTGTCATCGATTGTCTTCCTATCATACTGAACAATACACATCTATAGTACATCAGCAAATACTCATCTTCGTTCTGGGGAAGCTCCTTCGTCGGCGAAATGACAAAGATTAGCGCTGGCGATTCCGGGAAGCTCTCGGCACCAGCACATAAGGAAGCATCCAAAGCGGATGTCGCGGGCAAGACGACGATACTGAAGCAGAACGAAGGCGTGAATAGGATCACACCACATGTGAATGGTGTGAATGGTGTGAATGGCGTGAAGGGTATGGATGGCATACCACACGACGCGAAAGAGGGACTCAAACAAGGTGAACCGCAGGTGGCGGTTCAGACTTCGGCATAAGCTCCACACAAACATAAATATTATTTTTCTTCTTATGGTATCTGGCTGACTTGTAGACGACGCACGCACAAAGACATGGCGGAGCGTCTTTCTTGGTTTCTTCCTTATTTTATCTGCCGTTTTTATGCTTTGACATGCTCTCACCCTGCCCTTTTCGGCTATACGGCTGCTTCAATCAAATTGTTGTTTTAAAATACTCGCTTTTGATTTCTGGTGTTTTCAACCCCAAGCCAGAATTCTCTTGGTACTTTGGTTTCTTGTACTACAATTCATACATGTATCTGTACTTAAATCACTAGTGGGACGAATATATAGAATTCAATTTCCTCTTAATTGGACTGCTCTTATCCGGAGTGTTTCGGCGAACGGTTACAGACGGAAATTATATTTATTACATTATATAAGTCAAGTTAATATATATAATTTCCCTCATCATCCAAACCCTTAGCATATTTAAGATTAACCAAAGCAAACGGATGAATTTCGTCAAAGTCACGCGTCAACGCATAGTCCAAGAGGCGACACCGATTGCAATAGCAATCGACATGTGCTTCTGTATCCAGAGGACCAAGATCATTCATCACTGGCGAAGGAGTGGTGGCATTTGAGAGCGAGAACGGTGCGCGTAGGAAATCGCCGAAGAGGGATAGTTGCTTTTTCGTATAACGTTCGTTATCTAAGGCCAGTTTCGGGTTGAATTTAGGTTCGGGCTCGGAAAGAAGAGACGAGCGGGGTGAATCGCGGGAGGATGAAGACGAAGAGCCTTCACGACATAAGCCTGGCGGGCTACGTGGCGGCTGGCTGTCATTTGAATCTCCTCGGTTGCCTCCCTTTGAGCTCTTATCTCCCTTTTTGTTCTTCTTGAAAGACGCGAAGAAATCGCTCAAAGTCGACATACGTTCGCACACGCTGGACAAATCAACGCTATCTCGTTCTTCCTCCTCTTCGACTTCACGATCAAGTAATTCAGGCGGGATAAATGGGTCTTGGCTGTCAAACGAATCTACCCGATCACTTCCCCGCCAGCCGAAGCCACCAAACAAAGACTCGAGACTTCTCGATAGGTCAGACGAATCGGTGCTATCTCGTTCTTCCTCTTTTCCCTCTGCGTTGGGTTCGTCGCTTAAGGTCGAAAGACCTTTCGACATGCTTGACAAATCAAGGCCATTTCGTTCCTCCTCTTCGACTTCACGATCAAGTAATCCAGGCGGGATAAATGGGTCCAGGCTGTCAATCGAATTGCCTCGATTGATTCTCTGCCAGCCAAACGAAGACGCAAGGTTTCTTGCCGAGTCGATGCTATCTCGTTCTTCCTCTTCGCTTGGTCCGTCGCTCAAAGTCGAAATACGTTTCGAAACGCTTGACAAATCAATGAAATCAATTCTACCTCGCTGCTCCTCCTCGACTTCACGATCAAGTAATCCAGGCGGGATAAATGGGTCCTGGCTATCAATTGAACCTCCGCGATCGCGTCCCTGCCACCCAAAATAGTCATACAAGGAGGCAAGCCTTCTCGACAGGCCAGAGGGATCGACGCTATCTCGTTCGTCCTCGTCGCTTGGTTCGTCCGGAGGGAAACGGGTGCCAAATTCGACGAGTGGAGGGGGTGGGATGCGGATCATGTCGTAGTAGCGAGCCCTATAACCTTCTCCTCCATCCTCACTACCAGGTAACTTGATGTAGGGTCTCTGTGGCTCAGACACACTGCTAAGTTCAGAAGAGGAGGAGTAGCGGCGCAACAGGTCCGGTATGGAGCCCGAAAACGTTTTCGGAATATTGTCCAAGTAGAACGATAAATCTTCGTCGTCATTCTTAGAATCTTCCGGAAAACAACGCTTTTCTTCATCTAAGACGCTCGATTGTTTCCCATAAGAGAGACCACCTGGAACTCCGAGTTTTCTGAGAGGTATCGAGCCAATATCCAGTTCGCCTGGTGATTGTTTGGAGCTTCCCGAAGGGAATGTATCAGACAATGGCCTGAGCAGCATTTTTGAAAGCTGGATTAAGTTCGAGTGGGATATTTTTTGGCGTTTGCAGAGCGTAGAGAATGGTCGCAGTGTCTATCCAACATCCTCTACCACAGAGCTAATTTATACGTTCAGGTTGACAGATGGCCACAAACTTAAGCGAGATCAAAGCGAGATAGTCACTAGTACAGTAGGTCAGCTCTGGCCTTAGTAGGTACCAAGCGGGCGGTTCAGCGTGTGCACAACGGCCTGTCATTGGTGGTCACCACAGTGGCCGCTTTGGACCACGCTTTGATTCGGACTGTTATAGGAATTGGTCGCCACATCGATTAACAGACGCTCGGCGTAAAGATAATTTCGCAGACATTGTTGAATGGAGCCGGATACAACCTGGAGAGTTCAATGAGCGTTGAAGAGTGAGGAACGAGCTCAAAATCGTTGAATAGTGGTATGTCAACAGATGTAACAATTATTTCTGCCTTGGAAGTCTCGCCATTTCCCGACATATTGCTTATTGAAAGTCTTGTTTACTTATCTTGTAGAAGACGAGGTGGTAGTCTGGAAGAAAGAGAGTGTATCGGAAGAGACCTGCGGGCGATGACGATCGGGCGCAGAAACTAGCAGTGCTGGCTATACATCCTGAGAACAATATGGAGTCAAGGCTCCATCTTGTTACCAGGATGTTGTGCCACTGGCTGTAGTTTTATCTATGCACTCTTTCACTCTCATCGACTACGTCCCCCGCAATTTCGCCTTTGTCATTTGACGACACGCGCCGAAATCACATGTCTTATGTAACACGCTTACGTACGACATAGTATTAATAATCTAATTGCATACACAGGGCAACAGACGGTAGACATATTAATTGTAGTAATACATATGGCATACAAATCACGTTAAACCTTGGTCTGAAGTAGGGGCTGGTGCTTACACAGTCAACTTATGTTTGCTATGCGTTTGCTATGTGTGATGAATTATCTATTGCGATACTTCACACAACTTCACAGCATCTGTACATCTGACTTCGACAACTAATTGCCAGGTAGTCAAGATCAGTATGCAGCTACTGACTCCTGTCATGTTTACTGACAGTATTTACCCTTCTCGTACATAGCGTTTGCATTTCATTTGTCTATACTACTGCCGCAGGGATATGCTTTGAAAATTTTCTTTATTCCTGTTATAATGCTATGGTACAAAATGAATCGTCATCACTTGATTGTTTCTTTGAACCTTTGAACTAAATCTAGAACCCAATGTAAATCGTGTAAGCTAGAAAAAGGGAAAGTTTTGTATTGGATATAAGAGGTAAACTGCGCGCCAGAACACCATTTATGAAGCTCATGACTGAATCACGCCAAGTTTTTTGCGAATAGTAAAGAGGAGCACCTTTGACAGCAAATATGGTGTCATCAACGCAGTCGGCGGTGCCATAAAGAAGCGAACTTTGTAAAGAGCGTTATCGATCTCCTTGTCCTGTTGTAATGCGAGAAAAGGGAAAGGTCAATATCGCAGCAATGAGAAATTGTACAAAGCCGTGCGGGAAGGTGAAAGGCGGGAATACGTACCATACCCGCTAGTTCCATAACGATATTGCCAACACCACCCATTAACCATTCGTCGCTGTTCTTCTCACCCTTTACGGGAGTGGTAGTGTCCCATGAATAGTCTATTATGAATATCAAATTTAGATGCGTCAAATCATCCATACTTGATCGTCCATTCAGGCGGAGAATGACTGACCTGTCGGTTTCGTGCCATCCCAAATGCCTTGAATCTTATCCTTGTGCATAATAAAGAAATCGCGTCCAAAGTTCGGAGGAATCTTCGTCGACTCGGCGAACTTCGTGGATTTCAGCATTGCATCAAGGGCGACGGCACCAACGGTACACTTTGAACATCCTTGGCTAAACGAAATGATTAATGATGACGCTAGAATTTGACATATTTTGATGAGAAGACTCACCCGAAAGTGGGATTAGGACGCATGACTGAATCCCCAATTGCGATGAAATTGTGCGGGATGTATGGTGCTTGTTCGAATCGAATCCAAGATAGATTCGCTGTAGAAAATGATAACACGTGTACATCAGAGAAAGAACTCGTTTTTTAACTTAATGAACGATGGTGGCGGAACTTACGATATCTTCCCGTAGAGACTTCACAAGTATCCTTCTGTTCCATCAAGATATCGAGGAACGGGAAGAACCAATCTGGCACCTTATGGTGATCATCTTCAAAGCCTCTGTACCAATCTGCGATCTCCGTGACGTCCATCGGGAGCGGTGGTTCACCCCATCCGCCGAAGGCAAGTTCAACTAGGGCGATATCAGCATCTTATTGCGGAACTGATAAGATGACGTACTTCGGTGACCTTCAATCCGGTTAATCATAAATAACTTGTTCTCTTTCTTGGGGACTGGCATGTACGTGTACATCCATGGGACATTATCATAACCACCGGGGATAGGTAAACGTGCCCGAGCCTCCGGGGGAACATGGAACCTATATCGGATATACTTTTGAGCTGTATTATATTCAATCTTCACGTCATCCCATGCTAGTGCCCCTGATGGGATGTGGCGTTCAAGAACTTGAGAATTCGTGGGGTCGGTCGCAATGCGGAGAAGCCACTTTAGGCCTGCTTGCGTACTGCCTGTACAATCTATTTCATCCCATTAGGTCTTGCAAATTTTGTCCATATAAACGGAGAACACGTTACCCATAACAATAGTAGCTGGGATTTCTTCTATTAGACCATCAGAAGATCGAACGGTGACTGATGCAATCGTCATCGGGTCCCCAGGAAGAGTGTTTAGTGCCGTTGCGGTCGCGACTTTAGTACGAATGCGATTTGAATATCCCAGAACAAGACGTCGGAGCAGACGCTCATATATTTCGCGTGACATAAAGAAGCATTCTGGGTATTTGCCATCCGGGTACTCGTCTTTAGGGAGGTCCATGATCTTGCGTCCATGGCAGTAGACGTTTACATCGTACTTGGAGATCCTGTTGCATATACTGCGCGTTAATAACAAATAGACCCTTCACATCAAGAAATTTTACCATCCATCAGTGCTTCTAATCTCATCATCTACGTTCGGGAAGAACTTCCTCAGCGCATCGAGGGCGATGGGTTGGAAAACTTGTAAATTAAATCATCAACGCACAGTACAGCAATGATAATGTTCATGCTCTTACCATGGTCTGCATGATATTGCATGACTCGCGAACGGGCGCTCTGCCTGCTTTTATCCACATAGACACCATCCTTGTCGAACGTGTTGCTTGTACCTTCTTCAGTGAGGACCCAAGCTTCAGGCTCTACGATGAGAACGTCCTCAAAGTGATCAGCAGCAACAAGCGCAGTCCATAGTCCAGCTATGCTGTAAGTGTGGCCGACATTTAGTACATACGTATATTTTGATACAATTAAGTACTAACGGACCTCCCACCACAGATGACCGCCGTGCCTCTTATTCTCTTCTCTTGTGGCCTGGCATGTTGCGGGCCAAGATTCTCAAGGTCATTAAGAACTGTAAACTTGCGAGTGAAGAGTTTGTCCAGATACGAGCCACCTAGACGCCAGGCAAGGAGGAGAGCAGGAAGAGCACAAGCACCAGTTGCGAGCTGAGGGGAGAAATCCATGATACGGCTAGAAGTCCGCAGACATGATCTTATATAAAATCGCTGCTTCTCGGCATAGCAGGGTACAAAACTTCTCCCGTAATGACAATACGGCGAGGACACGATGGAAATAATATTCAGCAGTCCTTAAGCGATAGCCTAACTTGAAACACGAAACAGATACTTTCCGCGTGTCCTCCGGGCTATGACGAGGCCCCAGAGCAGCGAAACCAAGACAGGTTGAAACAATCTTGCTAAACAGATTAACACACAGATAGATATTGTATTCCTCTCTGAGCTTAAGTCTATCAAAGCAGAACGTGGAGTGATTGAAAAGGGCGTGATATTGATTGACACAGACTTGAGCGAAGGACGGTGCGAAACGGAACCTCGGCCTCGCAACCACGGACCTTCTCACGCTCACGCGTCGCCAACGCGTGACAGTGACACTCGCAGCACATCCTTCGCCTGATTCCTCTAGCCATGTCCTTCCCCCCTCAACTTTTGCAGTCTGTCGATAGTCTAAGGGAACGCGCAAAAGATGCGTTGTATGCACTCACATCCTGTCTCTGCCACCCTTCCGCAAAGGTGAAGATCAATGGACGGACTTGCAAGTTTTCTCCAAGCTCCTGGTGCTGCTTCTCCTGCTGACGCCATGAAATTGTAGTCAAGATACTAAAGGTGCTTGGAGAGGGTGGCTTCTCATTTGTATACCTGGTTCAAGATGAGGATAGTGGCGTGAGTCTTGTGTGCAGTTTCTGAAACGCGCAGAACCTCATTCAATTGTTATTCTAGCGCCAGTTTGCACTGAAGAAGATCCGCTGCCCCACAGGGTCAGAAGGCGTCAAGGAAGCAATGAGAGAGGTGGAGGCATATCGGCGCTTCAAGTGTGTATTCTAAGTTCTTATCATGTTCTATGTCAAATGCTAATGATTTCTACAGGCACCCAAATATCATTCGTATTCTAGTATGTCCGTACCGCACGTCTCACCTTGCCATTCTCACATTTAACCGCTTCAGGATTCTGCTGTCGTTCAAGATGCTGATGGAGAAGGGAAGATTGTCTATCTTTTCTTGCCTTTATATAAAGTATGTCCCAATTTGCTTTTCGATATGCTTCCTCCGTTCATCGCACTGTAGCGAGGGAATTTACAGGACGCGATTAACGCCCACCTCATCAACGGGACTGGCTTCTCGGAAGCTGAGATGCTCCGCCTGTTTCGCGGCACATGTGAAGCTGTGCGCGCTATGCACACCTTCCGTGCCACCACGGCTTCTCAGTCCCATTCATCCACGTCGGCTCAACCTAGGCGGGAGAGTATTCCCGCATCTGCACGTCCCAGATCCAAACAGAATGGGGCATTGGGCGGACCAGTTGTACACCATGGAAGTGACGATGAAGATGACGATGATTTGCTACCCCACCCGGAGGGGGATGGTGAAGGGGGCTATAGCTATGAGCAAGACGGAGGGTCAAGCATCCCGCTAGTAACTAAACACGCAGTAGAAGACGAGGGGGATGTCATTTTTGATGGCGACGAGGAACTAGCAGACCACATGCCCAATGGGAATGACCCAAGTCAGATGGAAGTTGTTCCGTATGCACACCGAGATCTCAAACCAGGGTTTGCCTTTCTGATTTTGAACATTTGCTTCGTGTTCTGGCTGACTTCCACGAAAGGAACGTCATGGTAGCTGATGATGGATCTCCGATCCTTATGGACTTTGGAAGTGCAATCCGAGCCCGCATAAAAATTGAAACCCGGCAACAAGCGTTGTTACAGCAGGTGAGCTGTTCCGCCGTCCGCGTGAACAGATGCTGACTTGTCAACCGCTCCAGGATATAGCTGCCGAACAGAGTACGATGGCTTATCGTGCCCCGGAGCTGTTTGATGTAAAAACGGGAGTCACACTTGACGAGAAAGTCGATATTTGGGTATGTTTCAGCTTTTTTTATTACCTAAGTATTTACTCATTTCCAATAGTCTCTCGGGTGCACTCTTTACGCTCTTGCTTATCTGCACTCTCCTTTCGAGACCCTTGCAACGACGGAGCAGGGTGGTTCAATTGCTATGGCAGTCATGAATGCTGCGTATAAGCATCCGCGCGATTCTGCTTATTCGCAAGGGTTGCGTGACCTCATTGATTCCATGCTAAAGGCGGACCCCACTCAACGACCTGACATACATCAGGTACGTCGGGACATGAGTTGTTCCAGCGTCCAAGCCGCTAGTTCACTAATCTCGTGTTCAATTGTCATACCTCTAGGTAATTGAGCAGACCGACGCTGTGTTACGAAGTCTCTCGTAGAGTTCATCGTGATCAGTCTTTGTATTGATCTCTGTTTTTGTGTGCTAACCTATGGATGGACATCATGTGCGGAACCATGGAAAACAAAGTTTGAAAAGTACATGGAAGAGCAAGCAGCAATACAAACTGATACAGGAGTCAGTCAAAAATTGCAAGATCCTCTGTTGCACTTGATCTCCTCCGTTTGGAATCGGCTTTCCCTGTCTGCTCATCTTCATTGCCTTTCTTGGGTCGTTTTGACTTTTTCAAAGGCATCTCTGTCGGTCCGATCTCCTTTGGGCCTTTGGGATCTTCCGGCGCATCAAAATAGCGAGAAGGATTCCTCGAAGAGAAGGACGTTCGGTCCGTCTCCTTCCTTTCCGGCCGTGCTTTCCTCGTGCTTTTATCCTTTACAGCCCGTGTGTCGGAAAGCTTCGCAAATCTACCCGCTCCTGCCTTGCCCATATGCCCCTTGGTCTTGATCCTCTGCTCGTCGCGCCGCTTGACCGGGGCTGCGGCGTCGCCACGGATGGCGACGACACTTTTACTTGCTTCTACGTTTATCTGTGGAGCTATCTCAGTTTTGCTTTTAGGTTCTGAATGTGATCCTGCGGCATCCACCTTGGCTCCTTCGCCTGTCCTCCTTTCTTTCGTTTTACCTTTAGACTTCGCGTTCGTCTTCCCTATCTGCGTCGGCATGTTCTGGTCACCGGCCCCCACATCACCAACGCCACCTTTCTCGTTAGAAACCTCCTTATTTGAGATTTTTCGTCTCTTCTGCGGTCTCTCGGAAGTTGATTTGTCATGGTGCGAAGCGGATTCCCTGCCGGCATCGTTGTCGTTCTTCTTTCCGTCGGGCGCCTCTTTCTTAGCGCGTTTCCTTTTCTTGCGCTCGATGATCTGTTTTTTCAGTTCGCGCTTTTTCTTGAGCTTTTCGAGTTTTATTTGCTGATAAGGCGCGGATCGGATTGAGGAAGTGAAGAAGTGAAGAAGTTAGTTAAATTGATTTAAGGAGACGAGTATTATTGTATGCAGCGACTTACTCGCCTGCGTGAACGTTTAGTTATGCCTTGAGCGTTCGCGACGTATCGTTGGTCTTGTGAGATGGCTGTTACGAGGAGCATTGGATCTTTCTTCCTTATGTATTTTTTCGATTCCGCTAGCGCGGTGAATTTTTGAAAACGACGGACATGTCCCTATCGTGCATAAAAATTGTCAGTAGAGCAGTTTGCGAAATGACATTTGGAATTGACCACCTTACCGCAGATGCAAGATGTAACTCAACCTGTTTGGCGCATTTGAGCATCTTTTTGGGACATACGAGGCATGCGTGCCAGTCCTTGTCTGGACGGGAGAGGTAAATGGGGTTCTTCACAGCCTCCTTGATTGTCAGGTTCGGTTTGTTAAAAACTACGTCTTTGAGGTCGATTCCTCCCTCCTCGCCTGAGTCGTCTTCGTCTTCTGATCCGCTATCGTTATCCTCAGCTGCGAGCCATTCTGTCTTCATGCCTGAAGCGGCACCTCTGTCCAGGTTATCATTGTCGCTGCTGCTCCCAGATTCGGAACCAGATTCGGAACTGGTGCTTGCTGAGCTTGAGCTGCTGGACTCGTCGCTATCGGTATCGTTCAATCCGAACATCTGCTTCGTTTCATCGTCTAGTCCAAGCTCTTCCTCCCTCTCGCGTTTCTTCTGCTTTTTCTCGATTCGTTTGAACATGGTCAAAGCTAGTGAGTCGTCTATTCAAAATTGCAGCAGGACTTTGTCCGACACGGTCATGTGCAGCTATACAAAATAAAATAAAAATAATGGCGGGAAAGTGATTTGCACGGCAATAGCCGGGCCGGGAGAGGGAGAAAGTAATGGCCTGACTCTGGGATTCACACCACGCTAATAAAATAAATTCAAATAAAAAGTAGGTAAGGTGAGAGAAGTACAGGTCCGTTCCGTTCGTTGCTCTCAGAGTCCCACCATCTCCACTTTCCACTCCCTCTCTCCTTTCTGGACTCTCTGAACGATGGCGAGCAACGCTTCGTTCGTCCCTATCACCGATGCCTGGTCAGGCTACGTACATCAAGCTCAAGCTCACCTACCCTCATCTAGTCGACTTGTTTTGCTTGCTCTTGTGAATGTCCCGCTTATTATTGTTTTGTTGAACGCGGCGTGGCAGGTTGTGAGTACTTCGCATAGCCGGATTGTTATGATCCTATGCTGAATTCCTCTTTTTCTTTCCTCTGGTAGCTTAAGCCAAAAGACCCGTCGTTACCACCTGTGGTATTCCACTGGCTTCCTATTATCGGTTCTGCGATTCAGTATGGAAATGACCCGATCAACTTTTTCTTGAAGTGCCGCGAGAAGGTGTGTAATTCTTTCTTCCGCTTCCATCGTATGCTGACTTGCTTGTCATTTCAAAAAGTACGGAGATGTATTCACTTTTATCCTTTTCGGTCGCCGCATGGTTGTTGCTCTCGGACCTAAGGGTAACAACTTTGTCACGGGTGGGAGAGTTTCACAGCTTTCCGCAGAGGAGGCTTACACGGTCAGACGCTCCGTTCTATCAATTTCTACGAACTTCTGCTGACGTTTCCTTCAGCACTTAACCACTCCGGTGTTTGGGAAAGACGTCGTATACGATGTTCCGAACGAAGTTCTCATGGAACAGAAGAAATTCGTCAAGTTCGGTCTTTCACTGGATAACTTCCGCGCCTACATCGGGATGATCGAACAGGAGGTGGAGAACTTTTTGAATAACGATCCAGGCTTCCGCATTTGGCAGATGAACGATATCAATGAATGGGGTAGCTTCCATGCGTTCAAGACGCTCGCGGAGATTACGATTTTGACGGCATCAAGGACGTTGCAGGGTAAAGAGGTTCGGAGCAGCTTGGACAAGAGCTTCGCGGACCTGTACCACGACCTTGATGGTGGATTCACGCCTGTGAACTTCCTCTTCCCGAACCTTCCGCTTGAGAGTTACAAGAAGCGGGATAAGGCGCAGCAGACTATGAGTGACTTTTATGTTGACTTGATCCGTAAGAGACGGGAAGGCAAGGATACTGATGTATGTGGAAGTCATTTGATGATGAGCGTTGGAAACAATTCTCACATTTGAAATTACAGGCTGAACATGATATCATCTCTGCCCTCATGTCACAACGCTACAAGAATGGACGTGAACTCTCTGACCGTGAGATTGCACATATTATGATCGCGCTTCTCATGGCTGGACAGCACACGAGTTCAACGACTGGTACTTGGGCTATCCTGCACCTTGCTGATAACCCCGAAGTTGCGTGAGTACATGCTAATCCTAATACACGATGTAACGGTGCTAACATGATTGATTGATAGCGAGGCACTTTACCAGGAGCAAGTCGAACACTTCGGCATCGAAGAAGGCAAATTCCGCCAAATGACCTACGAAGAACTAAAAGACCTACCCATCCTGGACTCCGTAATCCGCGAAACTCTCCGCCTGCACCCCCCAATCCACAGCATCATCCGTAAAGTCGTCTCCGACGCCCCTGTCCCCCCTTCCCTCGCAGCCCCATCAAAAGACGGGTCGTACGTCGTACCCAAAGGCTATTTCGTTCTTTCCTCTCCAGCAGTAAGTCAGGTTGACCCGAAAGTATGGCCGAATGCGCTGGAGTGGGAGCCGTCGAGGTGGAGTGATGCAGAGGGATTTGCTGCGCAGGCGTATAAGACGTATGCAGATGAGAATGGAGAGAAGGTTGATTATGGGTTTGGGGCGGTTAGTAAAGGGACGGAGTCGCCTTATCAGCCGTTTGGAGCGGGGAGGCATCGGTGCATTGGTGAACAGGTAAGATATCTTTCATTTTCTCCCTTTTTGTTGGCAGGGTGAATTTTGGAATGGCTGACTTGGTTTTTCTTCGTAGTTTGCCTACCTGCAAATTGGTACTATCCTCAGTACGATTATCCGAAAGGTAGAATTACGTCTGGAAGGGAAAATGCCTGCGCATAACTACCACGTAAGCCATCTGCATTTCTTCATCCTTCATTCTCTTCGTTAATGCTATGATCGTATAGACTATGATCACGACACCCAAAGATCCTTGCGACATCCGATACAGGCGTAGGCACTTTGACTAACCAATTTAATTAATCTCAATACTCACGGATCCCCTATAAAATGTCATCAGTCTTGGAATGTAGACTTTTAATACACTTTGCTGTTGTTGTGCTTTGTCTTATGGGACTTTTGATTGGATTATTGGTACTAAACGCATGGTCGGATTCTTCCTTCGTGGCGATATCTGCTGAAATAATGCAGGCAAAGGGTCAATCAATGAATTCCCTGATGATGAAGTCTGCAAATTGAATTCGAAGCCAAGCCATAGCTACGAGCTTATCCATCTATCCATCTAATGTAGATTTACACATTACCAGAGTGCTGTCATCATCAATTACAGTGTTTGTTGATTACCATTCGAGCTCAACACAAGAAAGGTCTTGTACATGCATGAAAGTTAGAGGACCCAAGCAAGCAGAAACGAAACTTGGGCATGGTCACTGCTGAGCAAGCCCAGAGCACACTTAGACACACAGCCTTGCATGAGATCATAGTAAACGTAGACTCGTTACATTCAAATTTGAGGTTGACAACTTCTGTAAGGGAGCAATGAAATCAACATCGTAATACACTATTTGTAAATTAGTAAAGGCATGTCAAAGACATGTAAACGTTCAGAGTAACTCACCTATTTTACACCTTTCTCTGTTTCTTCAAGTACTTGGTTTTAGGGAAATGGCGTCTTCGGTCTTTCCTGTTTCTCACCATCCACCCAGACATCCACTTTCTCGTCGTAAAATGCAGCGTAGCCTTTGATGTCAATGCACTCCGCAAGTGGACTACGGTACCACCAAACGATATCCTCAACGAGGTTTCCATTCTTGGGCAAGCGGACTGAGTAGTACGAAGCAACTCCCTAGCCAAGAAAACATAAAATATATGAGTTAAACACTGAACACGAAGGGAAAAGGAGATAAAGAAGGTAGACCTTGTACGGGCATTGCGTAGTGAGACTTGAGGGTTCCAGTAAGTCAAGACGACAATCTGTCTTGGGGATGTACGTCCGGATTGGTAGGCCTGTCTCGAAAAGCAAGCGCGGTTTGTGGGTGTTGGCGACTTCTACGCCGTTTACTTCTATACGGACGTGTCTTGATGATTGCAGTACGTCGACCCTCTTTAATAAGTAGATATAAGAGAGTTTCAGTACGATAAGATAATACTATGTGAAGAGTGCGAACCTTGTATGGATCTTTGGGATGCACGAAGATTTGTTCTTCCTCCTCAAACCAGGCATCCATCGAGCCGAAAGTCACTTTTGATAGTCCAGAGAGGTCACCAGCGCCGTCAGTGTACTTAGTAACTGCCTTCTTGGCTACTCTCTCGCCAACGACGACGTCATAGCTCTGCTGATTTTCTTCCTTAGTGTCATCCGGTACTGATGGTTGTAAGAATTCCTTCTTGATATCTCCGCTTGAAAAGAAGTAAGTTGGATAATAGGGGTGTTCCCAGCTGACAGAACCAGCGGTTAGAGATGCTATAGGCAAGTGGAATTCGAGGGATGGACTGAGACATACACGAGTTTGGCTTTCTTGGTGTCGACGATGTACTGTCCACCGAACAGGACCCTCACGCGCTTGAGGGATGGTTCAATATGCGGTTTCGAAGAGAAAGGCGGCGCCATTGTGGTCAAACGTCAGGAAGAAGGAGCAAGAGCTTCTGAATAAGACATTATATAGCGAAGGCGCAACGTCCGAATCGCACGTTCTTATTCATCGCCGAGAGTGTTTGTAACCAGAACTTCTTCTCTGCTAAATCAGCTGGTCAATTGAGTCATTGAGTCAACTTTAAAGAGGGGCTTCCGAAGACATGCCTTACGCAAGCACGGTACTAATAATGCACGTGATCGTGACGCGACGCGACACGCGTCTGGCGATTCACTGTTTGCCTTCCACCAGATCGTTGGCGGAAGATCTTCGGCAGCTAAGCGCTTGCGTTTCCACCAAGAATGAGCTGGGTCGTGGATGATAGTGAGGATGAAGATAGCTTTGATGCTTGTAAGTTTCTAGTCCGTTTCAATTCACCACACCAGATTAACGACGCAACGATTTCAGCTCTTGAACCTCAAGAGGCGCCAGTGCAATCTCATTCTGTTATTTCCGAATTCAGTGCGCACGAGATAGTGCTTCCAGAATCGAATCAGACCTCTCCTATTTCAAACTTCACAACGCTAGACAATGCGGTCCATCGTCCTGATACTACTACAGACGGTATCGTCGTGGCTTCCACGTCTGTTCCCACCGCTGCTGGTGCTGAACCTGCGCCGGTCAAGCCTAAACGACCCAAACCTCGTCCTGCGTATAAAGGCCACTTAGCAGGCTCGGACAGCATCGAGCAGAGCACTTCTGCTGCCTCCGCTATTGCAAATGCTATCAACCAAATTGGTCCAGGATCATCTCACGAGCCAATCGTTGATGCAACTTTTTCTCTTGATATTGCGGAGCGAGCAAAGACACGGAAACGGAATACCACCGGAAGTTCTGCGAAGACCCCTATCAGCTCGAAAGACGCAGGATCTATCATCGTCGAAGGATCATCGAAAGATATTATTATTGCGATCTCTTCAGATGGCGAGGATGAACCCAGTCCAAGTCGGGTTGACTTCACCACTCAATCTCGGCGGCAGGAACAGGCCCGATCATCCCAGGCGTCTTCTAAGATATCCCATATTCCAGCGTCTAATGCGCCAACTCTTCTTCTGCATTCTGATTCTTCCTCCGCGGTTCGTATCACACGGGCTCCATCTCCTTTATTCGATCAACAACACCAGAATCCAGGAAGTACGCCCCCTTCGTCACCATTCCAGCCACGAAAGCCAAAACGAAGGCTTCTGGACGAGGATTACACCTTCTTTGACGATGGAATTAGCGCCGACCATGATACAAGATACTTGCCAGAACTAGCTAAGAAGGACGGTGAACCGAGCACGAAGAAGCAAAAACGAACGAAAGAGAAGAAACCTCGCGAAGGGAAGTCGAAGGCTATAGTCGAAGGGGACGCCGTAACAGCCACGAAGGCATCAACGAAGAAGCGTGCGGAAAAGTCAAAGTCAGCGTCGGAACAACCAGAATTCAAAAGTAAAGAGTTTGTGGACGACTCGGACGACGGTGAAGAGGACGACTTGCTCCTCAGGCCCAGCGACCACTGTAAGAAGTCCGAGACGACATCCTCCTCCGTTCCGCGCCCAAGTTATTCCGACCCGGCGAGTATGGAAGTGTCTGTACAAGCATCAATCAACAAGTCGGCTCGACCTTCCGGGCTGGTGTCTGCGGTGTCCACCCCAACAACAACAAAGACGGTGGAGCATTCTGCTTCTATTCCCCCCTTTATTTCTGTGTCTGTTGGACCTTCGGCTGGCGTTTCCGAGGTGCCGTGTACAGACGCTCATGTTTCTGCATGTGTTTCTGCGCCTCCACCTGTACTCCCACCCCCACCGTCCATGTCCCGCATGTCCGAGGTAGACCGATCAAGCCCGGTAAAGAAGCGTAAAAAGAAACGTAAAGATGCCGCCTCTGTTGAGACTGGCAGGGAAGCTTTGGTCTCGTTCAATATGGACATTGATGTCGGTGTTCCTGCGGAACAATCTCTCGCTGGGCAATCGGAGGTACCTATTAAGGGGCCTACCAAAAAGAAACCCGGAAGACCCAAGAAAAAGAAGAAAACGGAGATGCAGGCTTCAACGGCGGACGAAACGAGAGGTCAGGGCGCTTCATCATCTTCAGCATTATTGTTACCACCGAATGACGCGGAGTCGGCGGAGCAAAGCATTTCTATGTCTACGTCTAAGGAAACTCAACAGCAGAAGAAGAGACTGAAAAGCAAGAAACATGGAACAATCGTTTCATCAGACGAGGATGAGGTGGAAGGAAATCCGTCCAAGGTCATGGATAACGTTGATCCGGTTGGTGTGGAAGTTGACAAGGAAAGTCGGGGCGATGATAAGGTGTGTTTCGGAGTTTATCATAACATGATATCCATATCCATTTCTTGCGTCCTTCGTGGGGTATACAATGTCTAATCTAACTTGTCTTATATGTGTAGGAGAATGAACCTTTGCCTTCTCCGAAAAAGCAGCCAGCACAAGGCGTGTCGACTCCTCATCCACCCACGACACATCACCAGTCCCCAATTCCGGATTCAAGATTAAAATCAAGAGCATCATCAACAACAACATCACACAACCCACCCAGGCGCGACTCAATGTCAGCTCTCATCCGCCGCGTCTCCTCCAAAGTCCACTCCCCACTCAACTCACCCTCACCCTCCTCTAACTCCCACTCCTACTCACACAGCCCACTAGCCAAATCCTCCCGCCTAGCCCTCAGCCGCATCGCTCCCCTCCATCCAAACCGTCGTACACCACCCCCAGCACCCCCTCGTCCTCCGCCACCAAAGAAGAGCAAGAAGATGTTAGAGCTGGAGGAGAAGTGGGAGATGGAGCTTGCAGAGAGTGTTGATGGGTGGGCGTGTTTGGGGGACGAGGAGCGTGCGGCGCTGAGGAGGGCGAAGAGGGATAAGGAGTTGGGGTTTGATGATTAGACGAGGGATGCTTGATGGATGGACCTTTCTTCTTTGTCGAGTTTTGTGCTTTGTTTGAATGTTGTGCCGACCTGCGTATCGTTATTGCTATTAAGTGCTGTTGCTTTCGTTTCTGAGGAATACTGGATGGTTAATGCACCTTGAAATTCGTGACTCCTAATACCCCTTGGTTAAGTAGTACCGAGTAGATTGACTAGCGGTTGTCGTTCCCGGCACTTTCGATCCCAAGTTCCTCGTTCAAGCGAGATATCTCTGAGAACGCGACTCTCAGCTTGTCCAAGTCGGCGTCGACGCTTTCTGCCCGATTTTTCATCTAAGTACATGATCATTATTAACCCAGCTTGATAGACCCGAGTCATTCGTGAACGTTATTGAATGGAAGTGTACATACTGCAGATATCGTATCACTTGCTGCGATGAGTTCATGATGGTGGTTGTATACTAGGGATTGACGTTCACTCTCGAGTTGTCGGATTTCTGAATGATGATCCATCAATATTGTTACATTAAGAAAGTGTTAAAACCGTGTGTTTAAGGTAGGCAAAACGCACCAGACAACAGTTCGTTCTCCCGTTTTAACAAACCCGAAAGGGAGGACGTCGTGATTAGTTGCTCGTAATACGACTTTGCGTCGAACGCAGGTGAGTCTATCAACGAAAACATAGCACCCATTAAACACACATATTAATATTTACATTTCCTCAAATAGCCGCAACGGATAAAAGGACGAGGCACTCACCGATGTCCATAGGATCCAACGGCTTATTAGGCCCACTCAAAGGCGGTGGAGGGCCTACACCCAGTCCATAATGTTTTCTTAATAGATCTCGTGCCCGAGTCTTCCCACCAGAGCTAGAAACTGATCTGGTGCTGGTTATGTTGTTATTTGGATTTGAAGTTGTATTTAAGGAAGGAAAGTTCTCGGGCGGTTGGTCGTTCCATCCAACAGTAGCAGTATTAGTGCCAGAGCCTGCGTTGCTAGTGTTGTTCGCTGACGACTTCCTCGGTTGAGGCTGAGATTGGGATTGGGATTGGGATTGGGATGCACCGGGAGAGAGAGGCGTGCTTGCTCGTCTGGGTGTGCTACCGCTCGAGCCCGCGACTGCAGAGAGGTTAGAGGCGGGAGAGGGAGTGTGAGCATGCAGGTTGAGGGCGTCGGGGCGGAGTGGAGAAGGTGGAGGACGGGGAGCTGTACGTTGGCGGGAGGGAGTACTGTTGGGTGTTGAGGATGCTGAATTTGTCGTGGACATCGTGGTCAGTGCAGAACTTTTCTAAGCAGACTGAGCAGAGGTCCATAGTACATCGTAAAGCCCGTCGATCTCGTCGATCAATCTAATTTATCGACTAGTCTTTGTCTTTTACTAAGAGCACTGCTTTCCACTATCCAATACTGTTACATAACTAGAGCTACTACAGTATGCATGCGGGAAACAGGACAAGGACTACAAAGCTAGTATGGATTAATTCGAGATACTTCTAAACAGGAGAAAAACTAAACACACCGGTCTAACACATCAGCACCCAACAGAGGATACATAATTGCGAATGTTAATCAAGCACCAATGTGCACCAGGTTGACCCATCGCTCTGTCTGTACACCATCTTGCCTTCGCAATACCAAAACAGCATTGCGAAGCGCGGCTGCAGACCGCTTATATCTCACTTCACCATCTTCATGGTCCACCATGTATGAATAGACCTCTTTGGCAAGCAATGGCCCATCCGGATCATACATTTCCCACAATGTCCCGATCACACTTCGAAAACCACAGAATTGCATAGCAGCAGCTAGGTGGATATTTTCGTCGATCGACGGGGATGGGTGCTGTTCCGCAGTATGACAGGCAGAGAGAAACGCAAACTCGGCGTTCGGAAGGTTAGCTCGGATGATATCGAGCAACGTCAATGCGCCATCGGAGAGCTGGAAAGAAGAATCAAACGGTTTGGGGTATGATCCAAGGTGCCCGTGACAAGCAAAGTGAATCCACGTCACGTCCTGCAGACGCTGCAGGACTCTTTCACGGTTCGCCCTCTCATTGAGCAATATTGTGCGAGAGGGAACGTAGCTTCGTGTGTGGCCCCGAATGGCACGAACTTCCTTTTCGGTCGATACAAGAGTTTTGGTGTCACCAACGATAAGCATTGCAGGATCAGCCTGTGATTCCCTTGAACGAGCATCGATGAGAGCTCCAAGTGTTGGGGTATACGATGACACATAGCTGTCCAATAAGTACTTGATTGTGCCGTCCTCACCTTTGAATGGCCCTGCCGCATGAAAAGGGAGGGCGGAAAGCATAGATGTAGGGCACCACCAAATGCGCGATTCCTCAGCAATCCCAATCTCCCTTAGTTTGTCGACAACCTTGGAGACGACTCTATCCCATAACATCTTCATAATTTTGACGAGCCTCTCATCATATCCGGGCGAGCCAGCTGTAAATCTCTGTCGCCATTCCCAAAGGTCAGCACACGACTTGATACTATCCTCAAAGAACCCTTCATCTAATGGTATGGAGACAACCGGTAAATCCTCGCAGGAAAGAACGACGAGTACATCGCATCGATACCTGCTAAAATTGATAACAATCACTGGACCTTCCGAAGCCGCCTGCTGAAGTACTTTAAATGGCGTGGTTGCAAGAAAGCTCTCATAGCCAGGAACCTGTCGTATCTCATTGATAAGTTCCTCCTGTTCGATAGAGAGTTGCCTCTTCAGCTTCAGCTGCTCCTCGAACAAGATCTGTTCCTTTTGTACATCCAATACAGATAATCCATTCCCGGCCATGCTTGAATCAGACTGTGGCAAGGTGGTTGATGTTGCAAGATTCTCCAACTGCTGACTAACATTCCTGCACCTGTCAGCAAGACCTCTATTTGTTCCAGCGAGGCGATCTAGAGGCGTCCTAAAACCACGCATCTGTGACCAGAGTAAACCCCTTCCTTGCTCAAGCATCTCTATAGCCTCCTCAAGCCTGCCTTCCTCTACAGCATATGCCACTGCATCTGACGTGAGCTGTCCGTAGCTGCCTGTCCCTCTGAGAAAGTCGTGTTGTGTATGAAGAGTGGGGCTAACAATAAGAGCACGTTGAAGGAGCAGTATTGCTACCTTGTAAGCTCTGGACACAGTATGGTGGGCATGATTTCGAGCAAGGTTGAACCAAAGCATAGCAGAGCTTAGGCGGATTACAAAACTAGAGAACTCATGCTCGGCGGCATGCTCAAGTGTTTGCAAAGATTCTTCAAAGTTATCCATGAGCCCAAACTTCCTGAAGCGGAGAAACAAAGAACTAGCCAAGTTCGTCAATGACTCAGAACGACCGGGGTGGCCATCGGGGCGAAGTTGTAGTGCAGCACGATGATACTCGATCGCCTCATCGAGTTCAGCAATTTGTCCATGCTGCTTAAACCGAGTTGAAAGTGAACGTGCAAGAATACTGAGAGACCCTGAGCGATCAGAATGGCTGTCGGGCTGGAGTTGCAGAGCAGCACGAGAATGATCGATGGCCTCATTGAGATCCACGGTCCATCCATGCTGTTCAAAACGAGTTAAAAGGAAGTCTGCAAGGTTGTTCAGAGATTTAGAACGATTGGGATGACCGTCGGGGAAAAGTTTCAGGGCAGCACGATGATACTCGATAGCCTCATCGAGGTCCGCAGTCTGTCCGTGCTGTTTAAATCTAGTTTGGAGGGAAATCCCAAGGTTATTCAGAGACGAGGAACGATTGGGATGGCCGACGGGACGAAGTTGTAGAGCAGCACGATGATATTCGATGGCCTCATCGAGGTCCGCGGTATGTCTATGCTGTATAAATCGCGTTGCAAGGGAATTTGCAAGGTTATTGAAAGACGCGGAGCGATCAGGATGGCTGCCGGGACGAAGTTGCAGGGCAACACGATGTTGCTCGATGGCCTCATCGAGGTCCGCAAGCTGTCCATACCGCGAAAATCTAGTTGTAAGAGAATTCGCAAGGTCATTCAGAGAACCGGAGTAATCGGGATGGCTGCCGGGGAGAAGTTGCAGGGAGGCACGGTGATGCTCAATAGCCACATCGAGGTCAGCGGCCTGTCCACACTGTTCAAATCGAGTCACAAGGGAATGGGCAAGGTTATTCAGAGATCTAGACCGATTGGGATGAGTGTCCTGGAGAAGTTGAAGGGCAGTACGATTATGCTCGATGGCCTCATCGAGATCCGCGGTCTGTCCTTGCTGTACAGACCGGATTTGAAGAGAAGAGGCAAGGTTAATCAGAAACGCGGAGCGTTTGGGATGGTCACCGGGCAAAAGTTGCAGGGCGGCACGATTCAGCTCGATGGCCTCATCAAGTTCTGCAGTTTGTCGATGTTGTTCAATTCGAATTTGAAGGGAAATCGCAAGGCTGTGGAGAGACGCGGAGCGACGAGAATGGCCGTCTGGGCGAAGTCGTAGAGCAGCCCGGAGGTGCTTAATGGCCTCCTCTAGGTCTTCTATTCTCCTGCATTGCTCGAATTGCACACAAAGTAGTCTCCCAAGATTATCCAGTATGTCGGAGTGACGCCGATGTCTTTTGGGACAAAGTGCGAGTGCAACACGAACATGGAAAATGGACGAGTCAAGCTCTTCCTGCTCCCGTGATTGCTAGAAGCGCCACCAATGTTCAATGGCCAGCTTGTAGAGTACATTAACGATCAATTCGAGGTCCACATAATACTCCATGTAGAGACGGAATTGCGATGATGATTGTCAACAGTCCCAACTCTCTTGGTAGCTGGCTGAGCCGCGGCATTGTGCATTACAGTCGTCGATCGTGTCGATCAATTTATTTCCTCGCAAAGAAAGAATAGAGTCTTTCAACACTTGAAAGCCATGGTTCGCTTCAAAGTACGTTACCCACGCACTCACTGCTATCCTATCCTATCCTGACATATAAGATATAAAACAGAACAGATGGCTCCTCGTCGAGTTCATCCCTATCGCACTGGATGGTAGTGCATCGTACACAACCTCTTCTTCCTCAGAGGGACAAGGACTCACAGCTAAACACATCTACTCCACACTCAAAGAAAACGTCCTCTCTAACTTTGGTGATGTCGGCTGGGGTGCAGTCGGGTCTTCTCTAACCGGTACGCAGCCATTCCTATCTTAATGTCTCGTAGAAACACTGGAACGGAACCATTCCGTGTTTGTTTGGTCAACAGTGAAATACTTCTCACCAACGACGAACCTATGTATCATCCGAGTTGCTCGGGACCATCATCGTATAGCATGGGGTGCAGTTACGCTGATCAAAAAGATGCAGGGGAAAGTGTACTTGCCGTACGTTGTACATGTTTCCGGTGAGGTTCTTCTCATTCATTCTTGACTGAAGCTAATTATTTTTATTGCGAAACGGTGAAATTGTGACAGGGACGATCAAGCACGCCCAACTCGCAGCAATACAACATAACAGAGAATCAGTTGCTCGGTTACGAGCTTTATCTAAACTACCTCGTAAGATACTTTCTTTCTTCGTAAAGAAACTCAAAAAATACAAAAACAAATGTAAGCTAATTTTACTTCGTTTCGACGCCCGTCTAGCCATGTACCAGAGTAAACTCGACGAGTACCTAGAGTCGAGCGCTAAGGAGATCGAGGCTCTCCGCGACTGACACCACGCAAAACTCGACGAGTAAGTGTATTGAGGTTCGGTGCGACTGACACTGCACAACAGAAAGAGGTCTCGCGCAGTCAGAGTTTCGCCTGTACAGAAACAGACACGAACTCCCTCTCCCTCTCTAACTCTCTCGTTCCCGTTGGCATAGCCCTCCTTCGAACCTCCCGCTCAGCCCACTCAACAATTCCATCAACAAGCCTCTCCACCTCCTCCTTCGAATTCCCCGCATGCAAGCACACACGGACTCGATCTTTACCCTTCGGTACCGTCGGCCACGATATGGGCCGTGCGTTGAGCCCGAGATTGCGGAGGTGTATGGAGAGAGGGCGAGGGAGGGGTGTCATTATTGGTATAATTGGCGCGTGGAGTTGTAGTTGGTTGGTTTGGTTTGTGTGAGGAGAGGTGGACGGGAGGTCTAGATGAGGTGGTAGAGCGATTAGGTGAGGCGGGAAAGGGGAGAGACGGTAACGGAGGAGGTCTAGTGTGTATTTGATGAGTGTCTGTAGGTTGTTTGCGAGCTAGCAGATCAAATTAGACCCGTACGGTGTATGGGTGGATTAGCTACTCACTTTTGTCGTGGTACCGTCTTCTAATAGATCGAACGAGCAGTTGATAGCAACTATGTTTGCGCAGCTGAGTGCAGTAGTGTATATCAACGGCCTTGCATAGTTCAATAAGTAATCTTTCACAAGTTGACTCGTCAACACCACCGCTGTAAAAACAACGCATAGCATCATCAATACACACATTAAAGTCAAAAAAAGTGAATATATGCATCGCAGACTCACCTCCACTACTCCCCAACGCCTTCCCAAACGTACACAACCTCGCAAACACACATCCCTCAAGCCCATAATGCGCCACCAATCCCCTCCCAAGTGGACCATACAACCCCGTAGCATGCGCCTCGTCAACAACAAGATGTGCGTTTTTGCGTGGAAATAATTCGATGAGGAGGGAGACGATGGATGGGAGAGGAGCGAGTGTGCCGTCCATGCTGTATAGTGCTTCTACTGCTATGAAGACGCTGGAGGAGCCTTTGAGTAGGGATGTGCCGTGTGATGGGGAGGAGAGGAGGGAGAGGAGGATGCGACGGAGGGAGGGGAGAGAGTTGTGTTCGAATGGTATTAACGTCCTATCCTCTTCACCTCCAGAAGACCGAACAACCCTCGAAGCCCTCAACCCATCATGAACACTCGCATGCACAAACTCATCATACACAACTACATCCCCTTCCTGCGGTATACACGCAAACAAACTCACATTCGCGTCGAACCCACTATTAAACAATAGTGCCGCTGGTGCATCGAAATAGGTTTTCAGCCGATCTTCAAGTTGGTCGTGTCCGGAGGGGTTGACGAGTAGTCGAGAGCCACCTGAACCGAGGATTGCTGGTGAGCGCGAGAGCGCGCTGAGGACGCGTGTGCGGAGAGGTTGGTAGGATGTTAGGGAGAGGTAGTCGTTTGAGACGAAGTCGACTAGCTGCTGCTCTTCGTTTGTTGATGACGGGTCTGTTGTAGGAGACGTTGGCTCTGGTAAACGACGCAGGATGTTTCGACGACGACGCGAGTCGAGTGCTGCTTCGAGTTTTTCATTCAGCGAAGACATGTCGGTAACGGTAGTTCCAGCTTGAGTACTAGCACTGTCTTTCTAATAGCATATACCCAGACAGATATAGAGATAGAATAAAGTTCGAATGACGGGGAGAGCGAGACGTTCCAACTCGTTACACAGCGAGTACGGACATGAGTGAAGATGGTAAGTACTGAAGAAGAAGAAACGAACAAACAGAGAACGTTGACACCTCGAGCGCGGCATGATCAGAACGGGCCAAGGTCTATCAACATCGATATGTCCGAAATGAATGATGATCGGCGGATAAAGAGCGTCGTTAGCACTTCCGGTGTAGATCCCATTCCGCGTCTCTTCCTCTCTACCTCATCATAATCTATAATCCACACCCAGTAGAAGTGAAATCACCGAGGCGAACGATAACTTGTGTATATTCAAACATGATTTGAACACCTACCAAAGTGCGCGCATACGATGAATAAAAATAAATATTGAAGCTCTAACACAAATAACAATTCTCATGAAACCACTTGCGCTATGCAGCCTAATAAGAATACCATGGAAAATGTAAGGCTCAATGGTATGAGATTCAATTACGAGCCATCTTCCGGCATCCTTGATCGAAGGAATAGCTTGAGGTACATATATTTTATGATAAGGAAGTGTATATGCAGCACCACTTGTCTTGGTGATAGTTTCCCCTTGTGATTCAGACTGACTGAATTCCCTGACAGAGCAGAGGAAAAAACTTCCAGTCACTGCTCTTCGTATCTCAGTCTCGTATTATCACACTAAGGTGAGTGTTCTATGTCCTTGAGTACATTGTTCAAACTATATTATTATTCTATCTAGCATATAAAATATTATCCTTTTTAAAGTAAGTATCGTTACTTCAATTCTAAATAGCTGGCTTGTACTACAGATTTGATGCGCAGCACCATAGAACAACAGACTTAATTAAATTAATGTACTTGGTGGATGGAGGCGAAGATTGATGCTGTAACCGAGTATCTGTGGTTCCGTGGGAAGTTCATCTGCGGACAGCCGCGCTACGGATGGCGGTTTTGGTGACACGATTCTTGCGCAGTTCCTTGGTCTATAGGGCTTCATCGAATTTCTTTCAAGTCTAATAACTTCTTACATTGCCTTCGTTGTTGTGGAGGGTAAACAACTGCGCATGGCCCGAAAAACTTTTGTTCTTGTCTGGGGCGGACTTCGCGGAGAGTGATGTGTTCTTTAGTCTTCCATTGAAACATCTGGACAACTGGATTCGTGCTTCTTGCAACGTCAGGCTGCGCTCCGTTGCTACCCTGGATGTGTTTGTGGACGAATTCACCTTCGGAAAGGGAAAACATTAGTTCTCTCTTACTCTTTTTTTCAAACATATTTGATATCCGGACAATAGCTCTGGAACTCAACGTCATCTTGTCGACCAAATGTCGAGCTCCCGGAATGTATTTTCAGATCTACCTTGTTCAGTTGAGCACATCCAACTGCGGCGGCCAACGCCTCTACCTCGTTGCCTCTATCCTCCGTGTCCGACTTTAACGCGTTTCCCTAAACACAGCATCCTCGATGTCGATCATAGCGCTTCTAGCGTCCTTTTACGCGTCGGCAGTGCGGCGCATATGTTTTCAGTCTACTTTGACGAGTTATGTTTATCCTTCGCCGCAGTCTCAGGACGCCGTTGCTCGGTTGCTTCATGTCGGTGCCGACGAGGAATGCACGGAAATGAATATAGTAATTTCTGGTACAATGCTTCAAACTCAGTGATACTATTGACCAGTCTCTAATGTTTTCGTTATGCATGATTGCTGATGCGTTCTTACCATAGCCTGCAATATCTGGAATGGGTGAAGCTGGAATTGATGGTTCTCCAGTCCAATATGTGTTGTCGTTTGTTTTAACCCTCAATTTGAACAAAAATGAACTTCAAGTTGCACCGCTTCGGAGGACGGTGGAATAAAAAATTGTATCCGCGCATGAACGGCTGAACTGGACGGCGGTCCGCAGCAAGTATTTTCGACGTCGCAGTCTTTTGTTTTTAGACTAAGCAACATATGTGGTTAGTGAGGAAAAAGGTATAAAAGCCAGAGTAGGAGCGACGATACAGAGCAACAATCTTCTGCAGTCTTAACTTCTCTACCAACCGCACCTTCAAGTTTTCGATAAATATGCTTTTGAAGCAACTCGTCCTTCTGGCTGTCATTGCCGCTGCTACCGCTGTACCGGTGAGTATAGATAGTGAGGGACAGAGAAAGATATACTCAATGATGTTCAGGTACCGCAAGATGGACATGCTCTCACGACAGATGCAGCTCCTCCGCCTCCACCGGTAACCACGCATCTACCTCCTTACGGAAAGCGTGATACCCAGGATCCTCCCCCGCCTCCGCCGGCGACCACACCTCCACCACCTCACGGAAAACGCGATAAGCAAGCTCCACCTCCGCCCCCGGTGACTTCGAAGGTTCCGCCTGCTCCTCACGGGAAGCGTGATGCCCAGGATCCTCGCCCGCCTCCGGTGACTACCACGCCTGCCCCACCTCCTCCGGCTACAACATCTCCGTCGCCTCACGGAAAGCGTGATGAGCAAGCTCCACCACCACCAGTGACTTCGAAGCCTCCACAGCCGCCTCACGGGAAGCGTGATGTCCAGGATCCTCCCCCACCGCCGCCAGTGACCACGCCTCCACCTCACGGAAAGCGTGACGCGCAAGACCCGCCTCCGCCTCCTCCGGCTACAACACCTCCCCCACCGCACGGGAAGCGTGATACTCAGGATCCTCACCCGCCTCCTCCGGCTACAACACTCCCGCCGCCTCACGGAAAGCGCGATAAGCAAGCTCCTCCTCCCCCGGTGACTTCGAAGGTTCCGCCGCCTCCTCACGGAAAGCGTGATGAGCAAGCTCCACCACCACCAGTGACTTCGAAGCCTCCAAAGTCGCCTCACGGGAAGCGTGATGCGCAGGATCCTCCCCCACCACCGCCAGTGACCACGCCTCCTCCACCACACGGAAAGCGTGATGCGCAGGACCCGCCCCCGCCCCCGCCTCCTCTAACGACCACGCCTCATCCGCCGCACGGGAAGCGTGATGCTCAGGATCCACCCCCGCCTTCAACGACTACACCTCCACCTCCGCCACCGAGCCGAGCCCCTCACAAGGACAATGCCTAACGCCCTGGCTAAGTAATGTGAGGCATTTCAACGATTCTCGCCCCTTTCTTTACTGATTCTTTTCCTGTCACGAAGATCAGGTCAAGGAGCTCTATGAAGGAATCAGAATGTTTTAGAATAGGCCGCATGGTCGGACAGTCATTTTCTCTTGAATCGAATCTTTAATTCGTTCTAGTTTCACTCTTCTCATATAACTACTCTAATATATGAATATTGTACATTTGAACTGAAAATTTCAACATACTCATATTGAGTACAAGTAAAGGAACCTCAACTCTCGAATCTTGCTGTATGTTCTTGCTGTATCCGAGCACAGATGGTTACTGTGTTTTTCAAAGATGTTGTTGCACACAAATTTCGTACACCACGGGGTTTGTCAATGCTCATACAACTCTCAACCAATTTGGATCAAAAAGGCTGCTAAACTCATGCTTTAACCAATGTTTCATACTTGATATGTATATTAAAGCATTTGTGCATGGCACACCAATGAGTCACGAAAGCAATGTGCCATAATTTATGGCCCACAAATATGTCCGAACGACTGATAGCTGTGGATGAAGAGCGTCGTTGGCCCAGGCATTTCCGGTAGATCCCGTTCCGTATCTCTTCCCCCCTGTATCATTATCCATAGTCAGTAAAGTCAAATATACTGAGGCGAATATAACTTGCCTATATCCAAATATAACCTGGACACCCATAAAAAGCATGTGCATGCAACGAATAAAACATGAAGCCCTAACTTGAAATAGATCCCATTTCTCAGCATGCAACATTGCTGGGTGGCATGTCCTGACAGTAGTGCTCTGCACTGTAGCATAATTTACAGATACACCTGCAGTGTATACGCTTACGCACTGTATTGTAAGAGAAAATTTTAGCTGAAAATACAGGTGTATATTTACGTGCGTATGTGTATACCATAAGTAAAAAATTTCCGTATATGCTGTATACGAGTATACAGTATTACTAAGCATATTCTCTAATTAAATACTAAGTTTGAGTTTCTAAACCTCATTTACTTTACTTATTTATATACCAAATCATTTTAATACTATATAACAACCTTGTTTAACTTAAAAAGTACTAGTATGAGTACTACAGTTAGTATGGTTACTACAGTACATCACATGAAGGTTTAGAGCTGTCACGTGATATTAACTCACAACACTCAACTGTCTTATTTCTGTGTGTAAACAGTACTACAATACATTTTCTTAGCTCAGTAATATTAAGCATTTGTTTTGAAAGATGATAGTGTACTTTTATGAGCTATTTTAATGTAAAGTATCTTGTTATATTTGGCACAGTGTATACACTGTATACACTGTATATAGAAGTGGCATATTGTATATGGGTCCTGCTGACCCAGTTTACACCTGTAATTATATGTGTGTATGTGTATATGTGGGAAATTTTATGTGTGTAAGTGTATACACTATGTGCAGAGCACTACCTGACAGACCTACTATAGTCTGAAAGAGGTACTCAACCATATATTTCATCTCATTAATGTTGATAACAAACTCAACAAGGTTTGCACTCAGCATCATCAGTATATTCCTGACTCCTCTACAGTGCAGGAATGTTGTTATCATGGATAATTCCCAAACAACAACAACAAACTTTGTTAGTTGAGTTGCATACTGTGTCCTTAATAGCTAGGACATATATGTAATACAAGGCAGAATGAACTCCATTGTTAGTGTTAGGAGGTTATGTGAGAGGCTTAGAGGGATCACACAAAGAGGGGGGATAGTGGACTCAGCTTCCTCTCTGGCTTCACTTCATTGTCTGTTGATTAGTTAGTCTACATCAGGAAAAAGTCTAAAAGGTTATATTACATTATAATAGTGTGAAAAAAGTAAAAAAAGTAAAAAAAGTAATTTACATATTATTGGACCTCAATTTCTGATAAAGTAGTATAACTTTGTATAAGGTACTGTAAGGTTTATTAATGTAATAAAAGTACATAAGGGTAATACCCCTTTTAAACATATAAAATGTATAATATTGGACCTCCCTTTTTTGAAATGTATTGTAAGGATTACCAAGTTTTGAAAGAGTAATACATGTTTGTAATGTTTTACAGAGACTATACATAGTTATTATTTCTTAATAATAATAATTTTCCCTTACATCCATTCATTATTAAAATAACAAAAATCAATTATATTAAAATATTTGTATAATACATTATTATCTACAATAATTAAGGAAAATAAACTGAAACACATACATAGTACAGCCTGTGTCAAGATTTGTACAGAGAGTGAGTGAGAGTGTTCATGTTTGCTGTAATGCAAATACAAGTAGGTAGAGGTTGGGATTGGACCAGACTTGAGTAGCAAACAAGTAGTGTCAATTGTCAGGCCCATCCCTTGACCAGATCCAGACAGACCACCAGAAAGTAAGAGCATTAAGAGGCTCAACAGTTATGACTGTGTCTACAGTTGAACCTGTCCTTACAAGCACTCTACATCACCTATCTCAAAATCACCAAAGTCTGCCATCTCCACATTGTACACACTACTACACCTTGTGTACAGATATCTGAACAGATAGTTATACAGTAAACTATTGGTAGAGAGCAAGTTGAATTCACTGTAGTTGTCAGAATTGGTAGTAGATACTAATAAAGAGACACTCACATTACTTGTAGTGTATAATGAGCTGCCTCTGCCTTATTCTTTTCCTAACAGTATCTGTAACAGAAGAGGAAGAATGTGTTCTTAGACTGTTTAATATAGTCTTCAACACTATACTTTGGTTGTTGCTTGGTCCCTGTAAGTTGAATAGTGTGTGTGTACAAATTGAGGTTGAGCAGGTTGTAGAGGCTGAGACTGTGCCTGTAAGACAAGTTTAGAGTGATTAGCAAGTAATAATAAGAGATAAAAGGTGGGTGTACTACAACAGTGTATAGTAAGTGTGAGTAGTGTACTAAGGTTAGGATCCAGAGTATTAAACAAGCTGATTTGAGTAGTAAGTAAAGCTGTACCTGTTAGTAACAGTGTAGAGAGGACCTGAAGGCTCAGTAAGGGGACTCAGGCTACAACTATCCTATATAACAGAAATACAGAACATGAGTACTAGAATGTAGTCAGAACTTGTAGAACAGATAGAGAGAGAGAGTAAGACAAGTGTAAGGTATATAGAGTAAGTTGAAGAGTACAGGACTATCTAGAGTAGATAAAATCAAGACTACAGGACTAGTCTGATCTTGTATACCTATATATACTAAACTATACAAGAGTACTCAGGGAATAGTGAGCTACTAAGAATAATAAGCTATAAAGAATGAAAGAAAGGAAGGTCAAAAATAAAGGTACAAAGAATGAAGGGATAGACAAAGGGTAAAAGACTATAGAATGAACAAAGAATGAAGGGGTGGACAAAGGAACAGAATAATAAAGTAAGGAGGGGTAGTAGTAAGAGTTATAAGGAGAGTCAGTCTGTATATAGTCTATAGACAGTACTCCTAAGAGACAGAAGTCCTGAGTTCTAGTATAGAAGGGTGTAGAACCTGTAGAATTGAAGGTGTAAGAGTAGAGAACTATAATAGTGCCTGTATGTACACATTACATACACCTTCAATTGTGAGACATAGTCAGAGTAGAGAACTTAGTTATTATGTACAATTGTAAAAGTGTATCTTTAGAGCATTCTAGCTTAAAGGGAGAGGGTAATGTGAGTAATGTAAACAGACTCAGTCTAGGAGGGGTAAGTAATAGTTACTACTTACCTTATTCAAAATAGTGTTATAAGTAGTACTAAGGAATGTAAATGTGCTTAGGGCAAACCTGTTAAGAGTAATGTTAAACATAGAATGTACAAAGGAGTAAAACATGTACAGTGTTAGGGAGAGGGTGGTACAATAGGAGTAGTTGTACATAAACATTGTTATAAGTATACTTGTGTATGCTTGTCAATTCTTACTTGTACTATAGAGTAGGAAGAAGTACACAAATGTATAAAGTTATTAGAGAAGTTGTTCAGTATTAGTTAACAATACAGATATGCAAATGTGAATTCAAAAAGGGAGACAAACATAAAAAAAGGAGAACAACAAAGGGGAGACAATGTAAGTAGTAGGACAAGGAGTAGAAGGAATGGAAGGGAGACAAAAAGTTGAGAGGAGAGGAATGAGCAACTATTGTATAGTCTATTATAAAGTAGACTAGATACTTACTACTTTATATTGAAGGACAGTATAGTCAGCTCAGTAGTACAACATACAATCTGAGACTCTGTACAGGTACTGTAATAGTAGATTAGAGAGACAAGTTACAGTAATGTTTATTGTCTGTGTTGTTACACTTAGAGTACCTACTAGAGGATGCTTACAAGTAAAGGACTAGGCTAGAGAGAACAAAAGTAACAACATAGTGTTAGGGTAGAGGGTTAGACTTAGAGAAATGGTGGAGGTTGAGAGAAAGAGTGACAACTGTAATTGTATTATTATATGCTCTCAATCTTCAGTGTTGATTATGTAATCAATGTTTGTAATAGTAGTGAAGCTGTAAAACAAAACCAATATTATATTTAAATGTAAAAGGAAAGTACTATTTTACTTTATAATACAGTTGATAGTAATCTGACATGTTTATATTACTTTTAACACATTAATATAGTTTTTACAAGTATCTGAATACCTTATACAAACAATATAAAATCTTTTACAAGGTGAATTTTAGTCTGTCTTCAAAGTTATAATCTAAGTATAATACTTTAGCTTATAATATAAGGTTATTATAATGTATTCAATGAATTGTAATGATTCATAACACTCTTAGAGTCTTTATATACATTAATATACCTTATTTTATCCTTATAGTTGTGTTCTGACTCTTACATATGAATTACAATATATATAAAATACTAATATTTCTTTAAATAGACTGTAATTCATTATATTTAAATGGACTTTTTCCTAATGTATATATACTATGTAAGTATGTCTCAAATGTAGAATGTATGATAGAATGTATTCTATTATTACT